CACCAAAGAATGTTGAAATCCAATCACTTTCAAAATGAACTTGTTACTAATCAGCTAATTTAAGTCATCTTTTGATCTGAATGATTGTGAAATGATATTAAGTAATAAGGAATGTTACATATTGCTCTTTCTTTTGCAGTGGAATCTGGTATGTGATGATGACTGGAAAACCCCCCTGACTACCTCCTTGTTTTTTGTGGGGGTGCTTATTGGATCCTTTATATCAGGACAGCTCTCAGACAGGTAAAGTACATACAGAAGGTTAGCCTTGTTGCTTCTAGAATTGTACAGCTTGACCTTACCCTTTAAAAAGAGGAGCGTAAGCTTTCCTTTCTGAGCATGTTTCAAGACTGATCTGTGCTCAACCAAAATGAGGGTGCTAAGTCATATACAGTGAGATTTTAAAAGGGGCCTAAGGGAGTTAGGTGCCCAATTCCCATGACTTTCATTGGGAACTGGGCACCTACTCAATTAGCTTCTTTGAAATTCCCAGCTCTGTTCTTCTATTTGTTCAGTCGGCACCTTTAGAATTAAAATCAATGATGCACTTCAAACTAGGAACTAATCTCTGCAAAGTGCACATGTATTTGCCTTGTACTCAGATGTGGTATTTGACCATTCGACAAAGGGTCAGTTGATGTTTCTTTATCCATGCTCTTCAAGTAGTTTCATCAAGAATAAAACATCTAACATCATAATGGAAGACCCAGTCTAGGAGCAGTGAGATGGCTTGAACTCAATTCACCATTTTTGTCAGTGTACTGAAGAGGGTTTGATGGAGACAAACTGAGCAGATCCAAAATGAATGATGGAGCCAACCCTAAATTACTGTAAATCATAACATGATTCATCAGGAGCAGATATATTTTTCATAGATCCATTCTTCAGATTAAAGACTAGAAGGGACCATTAGATAATCTGGCCTGACCTCCTGTGAATCACAGGCCATTGAAAACCACCCATTTAATCCTGTATTAAACCTAAAAGCTTGTTTGGTTAATGTCTTTCTTCCAGAAAGGCATCCAGTCTTGATTTGAAGACATCAAGAAGATATGGCGAATCCACCACTTTCTTTGTTAGTTTGCTCCAGTGGTTAATCAGCCTCACTGTTAAAAAAATATGTGCTTAATTTCTAATTTGAATTGGTCTGGCTTCAGCTTCCAGCTGTCAGTTCTTGTTATGCCTTTTTCTGCTAATGAGCCCTTTAGGACCTTTCTCACCATGAAGGTACGTAGACACTATAATCACATCACTCCTCTCAACTCTCCTCCCAAAGAGCTGCCATGGTGCCTTTGAGGATGAGCTCTCACTACCTAGAAAATGCCGCATGCAAGCTGGCATAAGATCTAGCCTCTGACAGACAACTCCTATCATATGTCTTCTTGTTGCAAAGGCGTCCTTAATTGAAAGTATGGGTGTGAAAGGTGGGTGTCTAGTACCTACTAACGAGATTGTTCTGGACACATGGGGCTTGTTAGCTGTGGTTGGCAGTCCACCTAGGAGAAGGGACTCCAATTTCAAACTAAGAACTTCTGGCCTGGACAGCTGGTTTGTAAAATTTGTGCCAATCACACATGCTCTATGGCAGGGGTTCTCAAACTGGGGGTCAGGACTCCTCAGGGGGTCGCAAGATTATTACATGGGGGGGTCGCGAGCTGTCAGCATCCACCCCAAACCCTGCTTTGCCTCCAGCATTTATAATGGCGTTAAATATATTAAGAAGTATATTTAATTTATAAGGGGGGTCGCACTCAGAGGCTTGCTGTGTGAAAGGGGTCACCAGTACAAAAGTTTGAGAACCACTGCTCTATGGGTCTTTGTCCTCGGGGAGTATATCAGTACAATGCTAGGGCATCCCCTGGAAGCAACATGTGACCGCTTCTCCTGAAGGCTGTGGAAAATGGGAAAAGGCTACCACATTCTGGGTGCATGTGGCTAAAGAAGTGAGCCCAAGACCTATGTTTGGCTTTCTTGAATGTGGGAGCAATGACTGGGAAATCAAGAGAAGTAGCCAAGATGCTGAAGAAAAGGGGAATGCACATTATCTGCATACAAGAGTAAAAATGGAAGGGGTTGAAATCCACTGATATTGGGGTGGGTTACAAGATAATGTATTATGACTCTGTAGCAAGGGGGAATGGAATAGGTATGATTATAGCAGTAATATTAAAGGATAGGGTATTGGACATCCAAAGTAAGAGTGACTGGCTGATGAAAGAATAGCACTGAGCAGAGAACAAATATTGAATGTTATATGCAGATATGCGCCACAGGTTGGTTGCATGATGGAGGAGGAGTAGTTCCAGATAGTGCTGGGCCAAGTGATAAGTGAAGTACCACAAGTTGAGAACACATGGGAGAATACAGTGAGGGCCACAGTGATTGTCACGGAGAATGAGGTTTTGGAACTAGAAATGAAGCTGGTGAAGATACCTTAGTGTTAGCCAGAGCCCACAGCTGGTTGTTGCCAGTACTTACTTTATAAAGAGGAGACATCACTTAATGACATACAAGTTCTTTGCCAAGAGGTCCCAGATAGATTACTTCCTGAGAAGAGGAAGAGACTAGAAAGTGATTCCAGGAGAGCAGATTGCAGAGCAACATACATGACGTGTAGTGGATTTCTGTGGGGGGAGGCTAGTGGGGGACAAAAGATGAATTACAGAACAAAGGATCAAGTGGTGGAAGCTCACAGATAGAGAAGTTAGTCTGAGATTTAAGGATGAGGTTCCGTAGAGATTGGACAACAACCAAACCAACACAACGACACCAATGAGGTTTGGGGAGGAAAATATCCAAACATATAAACACAAACTGCCTCTGGCCAAATGAAAGGATGGAAATTTTATGGCAAGGAGATGTGGTGATCTAGCGATGTGCCAGAGGTAGTAAAGGAGGAGGACCGGTTTAAGCAATGGCAGAAAGTAAGAACTGTGGAAAGTTGAGGAATATAAGCTGATGAACTAATGGTGAAAAGAGTAGTTGTGGAAGCTAAGGGTCAGTCATTTAAAGCCTTATGAACAGAACTACTAATGAAGGAAAGGGAAAAGGGAATATATAGTTTAGGCAAAGAAGCACAGAGGACTTGGGAGCTGTGAAGTGTGTAAAAGATGGAAGACTGCGAAATTATTAGGAGGTGTCAGCAGTTTTATGAGAAACTATTCAGTGAAGAGAATGCAAAGAAATCATTGAGCAACAACCTCTTAAGACAACATTCAAGATGACAAAACATGGCCAGGCAGTGGGACCAGACAGTGTAACAATTGAGGCATTTGAAGCATTAAGCCAGGAGGGGGTAGTGATGATGAGAATTTTTTTCAGCTCTTCCATAGTGGGAAAAATGTCTGAACAAGTGAATTAAGAGTACATTGGTCCCTATCTTCAAGGGTAAAGGTGATGTGCAAGAATGTAGTAAGTAACGACCCATTAAGTTAATGAGTCACACAATTAAATGGCTGGAAAGAATTATTGAGAAAAGTCTTTAGGAGGAGCTGGAGTATCAAGTAAGTGACAGCCGGTGCCAGGAAGGTCAACAATGGATAAAGTGTTTGCAACCCGAATGTTGCAGAAGAACAGGGAAAAACACAAGGAATTGCACTTTTGTGTTTTGTGGATTTGGAGAAGGCTAATGACAGCTCCTAGAGAATTGATATGGGGGTGACTGTGATCAATCAATCTGCTGAAGACATACGTTTTGGTCTGTCATGGACACGTATGAGTATAGCGCAACCGTAGTGAGAAGCAGCTGCAGTGAGTCATTCACTGTGAAGGGAGGTCTATATCAAGGATCAGCCTTAAGCCCATTCCTATTTGTGACTGTAATGGACACCTTGACGCAGGAGATTGGGCGACAGGGTCCATGGAGCATGCTTTTTGCTAGTGACATTATGTTGTGCTGTGAAGATAAATATGAACTGGAAAGCGACCTAGAACTAATGGAGGGCTGCATTAGAATAAAATGGCTTACAAGTCAGCCAACAAAAAACAGAATACATGTGATGCTTTGTCAAGAGGGACAATGAGAAGCCAGTAAAACTAGATGATGTGGTTAGATGTTTGGCTGCGTGTGTGTGTTCTCCCTGTGTGTTGCCCCAGCTCTGTGCAGACAGCTGGCAAAGCAGACCTCAAGCGAACTGCCCAATGACCACAAGATCCGTTAAGGTAAGAAGGCGTCAGGCCATGTTTATTGTCGATAAAGCATGGTAATAGCACCTGGCAGACTCTACGAGGATACTAAGACGTATATACCCGTGACAATGGGGACGCAGCTCAGTGAATGGTGGGACTTTCCATTCCCCCATTGGCTGGACAAAGATACTCCCTCTGAGATACATCTTTATACCCTGATACAAACAAGTTCCGTACAGCCTCTGACATAGTTAGTTACTGCCCCCTGATGTGGCTAGTTATTACCCATCACCTTGTACATGTTGGTTCGATTAAAACACTTCTATTACGTACTGTCATCCTGACCTTATCTTTTAGGAGGGGTCAGCGTGTTCCTGTTATCCTTGGGGAATGTTTTTGTACCATCTTTGATATCAGGACGTTCTGGTACCACTTGATATTGGGATGTGTTTGCGTGAGTACTCTGTGACTAGCACTTCTTAGGAATGTGTATTTCTACAATATCAGCCCTGTTCTTGCCAGATTCTGTGAGCAGGTCCTGCCTCATACCAGGCCTCTGATACAAGGGCTTATGTTTCAGGCTCTCTTCCTACTACAGATGGTATAGAGTTTAAAGTCTGCGCGGCAATTTAAATACCCCCATTCAGTGTTGAGCATTGGTGGGAATGTTAGGGGCTGCATGAAAAGCAGTTGGTGTAAATGGAAGGAAGTGATGGGAATTCTCTGAGATAAGAATATGCCAAAGAAACTAAAAAGCAAAGTGTATAAGGTCATGATTGGGCTAGCCATGACGTATGGCCGGTGAGGAAGAGGGAACTACTACTTCATACTGCTCAGGTGGGTCGCTGTGTAGGATGAGAGCTGATAGGTTATGCAATGAAATGGTATGAGCCATGATTCAGGTAGTCCCCATCACAGAAAAGCTGAGGGAGTATTGACTGAGATGGCTGGGTCATGTGAGACAATGAGATATGGGATATGTTGGCCAGAGAGTACAAGAAGTAGTAGTCACGGGGCAAAGTACCCAAGAAAGATCTAAAAAGGGTGGTTCGAAACACTGAAGGAAGACCTGAAAAACGTTGGTGTCAGCTTGGAAGATGCTTGCCAATAATGCTTGGGGAAGAAGAACAGGAGACACTGGCCCTGCTTGATGGAACAAGGTGAAAGTGAAGAAGAAGAAACAGATTGAGCTCTAAGTCTCTCACTGCATGGCATTTTCTCCAGCCCTCGAATAATTCTTGTGGCTCTTTTCTGTACCCTCACCAATTTTGCAACATTTTTCAAAATGTGGACCCCAGAATTGGACGCAGTTGTCTCAGTTCAGGGTTAGCTGCACCTCTGACTCCTCCTCCTGTGGTCTCTCTGGACTTTATGCCTCGAGTCTTCCATCTCTTTGGGGTGGAATCCTGCGATTCACCCACTCTTAGACCAGGATACTAGGCTACTGCCTGTGTACCATTTGTGATTGCTTAGCAGGCCTGACTGGGTTCAAGCTCTGTGAGTCTTCTCTTCAGAAGCTGTGACCAGTGGGTCAAAACAGCCTTTTCAAAATAAAGTATTGCGTAATCCAGACAGTAGGAACAAAGCATGACAAGTGCAAAGGTGGGTAACACAATAGTCTATATGCATAAATGACATACCTAAAGCCTACCTAGGCCTACCTTATCCAGACACCCCCAACTTTGGGAGCGAGGGGACAGTCTACATCCCTGGAGTCTGTCTCCCTCTCCCCTGTTCCTCAGAGTTTGCCCTGTTATCCACCCCAAAGTTCTTTGTCTTCCCCTGTGCCTTGAACCTGGTTAAATTGGCTTATGCAGCCCACCAGGAGGGTCAGGGATAGACTTCAAAGCAGCATTGTCCTTTAATTATCAGCAAATGCGGGGGGGTGGGGGGGTGGCGCATTTGGAAGTGTTTGTCCCCCATCCAGGCTACATGTAGCTTAAGCCATGCCATGCCCTTATAATCATATAACAAACAACACAATAAAAGTATCAGAGGGGTAGCCGTGTTAGTCTGAATCTGTAAAAAGCAACAGAGGGTCCTGTGGCACCTTTAAGACTAACATCTGAAGAAGTGAGGTTCTTACCCACGAAAGCTTATGCTCCCAATACTTCTGTTAGTCTTAAAGGTGCCACAGGACCCTCTGTTGCTTTTAACACAATAAAAGTCAACCAGAAGAACATAAAATATTATGGGCATCTTCCACATCCTTCATAGCACTATTCCAGTATTGGTCTCACCAGTGTCATACACAGTGGTAAAATCATCTCCTAACTCCTACTCACTATGCCCCTGTTTATGTATCCAAGCACCGTATTAGCCCTTTTTGCCACAGCATTGCATTGGGAGCTCATGTTGAGTTGCTTGTCCACTATGACCCCTTCTATGGAGCATCCTCAAGGATTTTATGTATCTGCTCAACTCTTGTACAAGGAATCACCTTCTTGGGATGACGAATGTGGGTTTGTAAAACTTGATGGAAGTTTTAATCCTAAAACCTCAAGTACTAAATTGCATTTAATCCCAAAGTAATCCGCTGACTCTTGCCTGAAGAGCAGAACTCGGTTAATTTAATATTTTAAAAAGGAGACATGATAATCACTAAAGCTTCCTGGCACCATTTTTGGAGTGGGAAACCTCTTTAAAAAAAAAAAAATCTTCAGCATGTAAATTTGCTTTCAGATACATTCAGTTCTGCCTTGCTGCTGTCAGGGCCCTGATAGGACTTTTTAGCAAAATTTTTGACAATAAAGAGTTGTATGTTCTAAGTTTCACCTGTGCTGTTGCAGAAACCACTCTCCACGTGAGAGAATATTGTAGCCACCCTTTATAATAAAAGCCCCTTAAACTCCACATACAGATCAATGTGTCCTTATGGATGAGGCAGGTATTCTGTGGAAAAATAGTACAGTCTTTAATGACATGAGTCTATATCATCATCCATATGCACATCGGGGCCGAATTAAGGTTGGAGAGGCAATCTTAATTCTGTCCTTTCCTAACTTTTGAGTGCTTGGCTTTGCAACCTTAACACAGCATGTGGAGGGGTTATGTGTCTTTAAATCCAGAGGTTAGCTTGCAGTTATATTTCCATAAGAAAAAGGAAAAGAAACGTAATATAGACAAGAAGTGGAGAAGAAGGAGGATGAAAGATGGAGAGAGGATTGTATAGTTAAATCATTGCTAGATTTCTACTACCTCGGTTTTATTGTTCTAGCAGAGTAAGCTGCTATGAGACTCGCTCTCCTGCATGTTGATTCTGCATCCGCTGAAGTCACGGGCAAAGCTCCCATTGACTTTAATGCAATGCAAGATTAGGCCTCTGATTAATTGTATATTTATCACACTTATTGGCACTCTGACTACCTTAGATAGATAAATGTCTTGCGTAACTGCAGCTGTTGTATTGCTGTTTCCAAATTGTGCACTCTTCTATACTTTTGGGAGCTGAACTATTTCTGCCAGTATGTGAAAATCAGAAGTGTTCTTCAAGAAGGACAATATATTAAGCCTTCTTTATACTACCTATTATTAAAGTTGTCCAACACATCCCATTTTAAGAAACCCTTTTTTCTGTTGCCTATAGTGTGACCAAACATATTGAGGGTTTGGGTTGAAATTTTCCATGCCAGGTGTCTGCCTCAGGCTGACTTTTCTTTATTAAAAAAACAAACAAAGAAAAAAAAACTTCAGACAGAATAGTTCAGTTGTTTCCAAGAATGAGACTAGGTCAAGGAGCTGGGAGGTGAAAGTCGGAGTGGCATGGAGACTAGGGTCAAGGAGTTGGGGTGGGAGGAGATTGGAACTTGGACAGTGAACCTGGAGGGGGAGTGTGGGACTAGGCTGAGAAGTCTAAGGAGTGGAGAGTGGGTCTGGGTAGACAATAGGGTGGTCAGGTGTCCGGTTTTTGACCTGCAAGTCTGGTCGAAAAGTGGACCTGACGGTGTCCGGTTGGATCTACTGACTGGACACCCAAAGTTCAGTTACTGAGGGTGGGGGAGGTGCCGAGTCATCACCTGTGCCAGCCGCTACTCAGCTGGGGCCACCTCTTATCTGCATTGGGTGGCTGCAACTCCCCGTGCTGGCTCCCCAGACGAGTCCCTCCCAACCCACGCAGGAGATTGGGGGCGGGGGGGACAGAGGGGAAAAGAGGAGTGAACGGGGGTGGGGCCTTGGGAAGAGGTGGGGAAGGGGAGGTTCCGGCACTCCTGCTGGAGTGTTTATTTTTTAAATATTACAAAGTTGGCAGCCCTCTCGTCGACAGGGAGAGTGGAATTGGGGCAAGGAGCCAAGGGTGGGGCAGAGGCAGATTGGCACAGGGACAAGTTGGAAATGATGTAATATTTGTGAAGCACTCAGATACGATAGGGAGGAAATTAATAAATTTGTCTTTGAACAAGGCCTAGAGCTGCATACTGAACAGTGAGGAGAAAATAAAATATTGAATAGCTTCTCATTAAGTGAGCAGTATCCGTCCTGTGTGCTGAATGAGGAATGGGATCTGGAAAAAATAGTATGTGATGATGTAATTAAAGGCTATCATAATGTATATGCACAAGGGGGCTGAATTGTATCTATGTCACAGAGATACTAACAACTCTTTAGGATGTCTGCTCTTCTGAATTATTTTTGTTAATGTCTTGAGTTCCAAAGAACCTCCATTTTTAATGCTCCTAAAAATGATGGACTAATAGAGCACTGCCAGTGTTGATAAACTATGTGGCTTTGAGTGGGATGTATGTGCTAGGTCTGTACTGCCTAGCCATGCACCTTGAAACTATTTTTATTCTGTATTTTTTTTAATATAACTTTCCTCTCTTTGTTTTTTCAAAAGGTTTGGCAGGAAGAGTATTCTCTTTGCAACCATGGCAGTGCAGACTGGCTTCAGTTTTGTGCAGATCTTCTCTACCAGCTGGGAGATGTTCACAGTGCTGTTTCTTATAGTTGGCATGGGACAGATCTCGAACTACGTGGTGGCCTTCATTCTGGGTATGAACATGTCTGTTACATTAAATGCTTGCTGAGTGTGCTGGTGAATGACTTAGGTTTTAATTCCAAGCAGATCGTTTGATAAGAGACTGTCACATTCTCCACTATGCATAATCCTCAATCTACTCTACTAGGATATTTTCTTGAAAAAATTAAGGAATCTCTGTAAACAAGCATGAACTATATGCTGAATGTACATTTTATTGTCTTAGACGAAAAGAGTATTTTAGAAGACTTTTAAATAATAATGAAAAACGTTTCTTTATGCCAAACCGTAAGCTACAGTGCCCAGTATGTTTATAAATTGAGGTGGAAAAGAAGGAATTCCCACTCCCCCTTTTTTTTTTTAAAGTACCTGCATTAGGACCCAATTCAGCAACTCACTTAGATGTATGCCTAAGTCCCATTGATTTCAGTGAGACTTCAGCATATGCTCAAAATGAAACATATGATTAACTGCTTAGCTAAGTCAGGGCCTTAACAAACTTCCATATTCGGAGAGCTACTCAAATGGTGAATTCAGAGAAGTTGCCAATAATTCAGGCGCAATAATGTTCTGCAGATAAAGGAATTTGAAAGTTTATTATACTTAAGTACCTTTCACTAGTTTTGTCAACTTCTCTCGATCTAGGTTGCGTGGAGTGCTGTGAACACAGTAGTTCATGCTTTGCTCATGGAAAAACGTACTCTGGCACAGTCAGGTCTGAAACCCTCGCCCTGAATTTTCCTCTCTCTCTAGGGAAAGAAACAGAGCTATGGAAATAGTTCAAGGCCTGTTATCCAAAGGAACAGCTCTCTGAAAAGCTGCGTCAACTCCCTCCCCACTCCACCCACCCACTTGCAGCAAACTTCTTTACTGCCTGTATTTCAGTCCCATGCCAAAGTTGTACCTGGTGTAAATCCATTGGCTTCAGTGAAATTGCACCTTCTTATGCCAGTGCTGGATTCCATTGATCATATTGCTTTAATAACTACAGTGTTGCAAATTAAAATGACCCTTCCATATGGCAAAACAAGGTAAAGTCTGACTAAGTGACCTTTCGCCAAAGGTTAAGTTACTGAAAGGACTGTAGATTTGCATGTATTCTTGACAGTGAGATCACATTAAATGTGTATAGTTCACTCACTGTGCCACCACTGGTTTTGGTTTTAAGCAGATGTTGATCAGACAGTTAAAACATTTAATAATTTTTCATTTTTAATCTCATTTGGTTTACAAACTTATTTTTCCTAAAACCAGAAGCATTGTAACCATATTATAGGTCTGTTACATGCCAGATTTTTCTTTTTCAATTAAAAATAGTTTACACCCAAGTTGTAATCCCCTGCAAACTGGATGGAAGCTGGAAAGGAAAATGCTGATACATCATGACCACGAATATTTCAAAAGAACGGACTTTTTTCACAGTGCATTTACTACAAAGTATGATTTCCAAATGAGATGATTTTCATAGTATTCATTCCAATGGTAGCCAATTAATTAATTTCATCATCCATTTATCATTGTTTTATTTAGTGTTATGGTCAACTCATATGCTATTGCATATATAATCAGTGCATGTTAAATAGATTTAAGTTGTAGAATTATAGAAGTGTAAGAGTTAATAAAAGGCCACGGTATAAATAATCCTTAAACACCCAAGAAAGCATGAATTTTTCTTTCAGCATATAGCTAATATGTCTTTGATAACAGGGTTACATCTGAATAATTACTTTAGTTATACTGTGGCTTTAAATACATACCACCTCATAGGAAAATAGCATCTGTAACGGGCAGTCCCTCAATAGGATACTAAGGTTGGGAGTATCTTGTAAAATGCTGATAACACAGGAAAAATGTACCCATTTCTATTCACTTGAGTCTGTGCTACTAGAACACCTGCCATCCCTCCAAGCAAATCTTAGTGGAGAGATTAAGGGTGGATTTATTTTGTAGAACTGCTTCCAGATGTGAAGGCTCACACTCAAGGGTTCAATCCACTAGAGAACAGTGTGATAGATACTTCAGATTTGCATGGTGTCCTCTCTAAGGGCTTGTTCCATAGCCTGCCAAAGTCAGTGGGCCCGAATTTAACTGACTGTGGAAAGTTATCTCCTAGGGACACTTTATTGAATATTCTCAAGCAAGCTCACTTGACTTAACCGAAAACTTAGTGGTTAAGGGACACGTGGAAGTAAAATATCTTGGTAGTGTGCTATCAACATTTTCATAATCAAGAGGGGAGGAGACAAATGAACTGTGTCCCATAGCAGAGCCTTCCCCTCGCCATGTGGCTAGCTAGCAAGTGATTTGTTCCGGAGGCCAGTTACTTTTTTTTTTTTTTTTTTTTTACAAAATCTCATTCACCTCTGTTGGGCACTTTCTCTCAACAACACAATGTGGCCTTAGACAAACCTATTTTGTGTCTCAAGTATCCATTTCTAAGGCATCTGTGTAGCACTGCTAGTAAAAGACGACCTTAAGTTGTGAGATTGACCTCCTAGTAGAGGTGCAGGGTGTGATGCTTCCTGAAGGTACCCGGGGTTGTGAGGCAGCTCGCTGCCACCTGCCCTTAGCATGAGGAAGCCTTGTCTGTGCCTGCCATGGGTCAGCTCCCCGACTCCAGTGGCCATGGGCAACATAAGCACTGTCCTCTGGCCTGGCAGGCCCCATGTTACTCTGCAGGTTAGCAATAGGCCCTCCCAGTATCTCCCTGGCATATCCAGCCCCTGGTCCACTCGGTATTGAGAGATTTGCTGCATCCAAAGAAATAGTGCAACCCAGTTTAGCAGTTCCCCCTCAGATCGCTGCTGTTCTTTACACACACCTCTTAGATATGTTTATAGTGAAATCAAGTACAAGTTTGTTTAACAAAGATTAGAGATTCAAAAAGTAGGAAATAGAAGTATTGGAAAGAAATGGTTACATATAAAAGAAAATTGTAACACACATTCTAGAGCCTAGACTCTATTAACAAAATACTCTCAAGTCTGGTAGAATATTGCTCACCCAAAATCCTTGCAGTGCTTTACAGCCAGGCTTGGCTGTGACCCTCCTTTCAGCTTGCCTCCCAGGTGAAGGATTTATGTTTCTTTGCCCCAAGATATACTCGTCCCATCCTTTTGCCTTTATTTATAAACAGGACACCCACTGCTGTGTGTTTCATCTTATAGATTTCCTTTCTTGTAGATTTTGCAATCTCTCATTTTACAACTGGCGAAGTATGCCTCATGCTGTATGCCTATTTGCATACAATACACCATACCCGTATAGTTAAAAATAGGTCTCTCTTACCTCCTGCCTGAAAGGAACATTCCAAGGTATGTCACCTTTTGGTGACCTGTCTTAAATCAAAGACCTTAAGAACATAATTTTCAGTATGGATACATGCCTCCTTAAATACTATCCGTACATATATTTCACAATGATTATGTCAGCTATAGCTCTCGGCAGAGACCTTACGTGCCACTCTTCAGAGAACTGTTATGTATATGTCTGACTCGGGGATCCCTATAAAACCCATGCCAGCCCCTTCTGCCCTCTGCCGATTTGCACAAAGAGGTCCCTGGGGGTCACAGGGAAAAATAAGTTGTGGAGAAGATCTAATTTCCTCTGCCTCATCTCCCTTCTTGGATCTACCTTCAACTCCTCAGAAGAAGAAGAATTCTTCAATACTTGCTAATAAGTATAAGTGGATTGTGCAGCTTTTCCTGAATCCAATGAGGAAATAAATCAGCTGAAAGAGAAAAAAAATTACAGGCTCTCATTCTTATAATTTGACTTTAATGGTATGTTTTTTTGGGAGGAATGCTGTTGAGTGAAGGTTTCTGCCTCTCTCAAGGAAAGTTTGCCTGATGGGAGGCTTGAATGGGTTTTCCATTGTTTGGGAAAGAACAAAGTACAATATTTGAGAAATCCAAACTGAAGGCCAAATTTTGGTCCAATTGTTGCTGTTAGCAGAATTTCCATTCTTAAATGAGATCAGGATTTGGTTCTACACGCTTAACTTAGTACACGGTTTGATCAAATAAATTAACCTAACGATTTGACAAAAGCTTAGCCGAGGTTTTAGTGTTGTGCATTAACAAAGCAAATAGGTCAATCAGATGAGTTATTGTACTTCTAGCAGAGTATCAGGATAAGTTAAGTATTTAGGATGAACGGGCAGTTAAATCATGGATTTTTGAAAGCACTGGGCAGTGTTTTTACGCCACATTGAATTAGGCTACATGGTTATAGGATGTAACTGGTAATCATTTGGATTCCGTCTGCTTTATCACATGTAGGTTAGAGCAATGTGCTGTACTGGTATGTAAGAATGTGCTGTCTCATTAATGATAAGAGAAAGGGAAAATGTAAGAGAAATACACACCAGCTAGAAAGGAGGAAGATGTAAGAAGCAAGAGTCAGCTGTCATATAACTATTCTAGGGCTGCAAGCCATCTAGCAGAAAAATATGGTGGGAAAAATGTTATAAAAGGGTGATCATAGAATATCAGGGTTGGAAGGGACCTTAGGAGGTCATCTAGTCCAACCCAGTGCTCAAAGCAGGACCAATCCCCAGGCAGATTTTTGCCCCAGATCCCTAAATGGCCCCCTCAGTGATTGAACTCACAACCCTGGGTTTAGCAGGCCAATGCTCAAACCACTGAGCTATCCCCCTTCCCCCCCAAAAAACCTTGAAAGGTCATTGAGTCCAGTCCCCTGCTTTCACAGCAGGACTAAGTACTGTCCCTGACAGATTTTTTTTGCCCAAGATCACTAAATGGCCCCTTCAAGGATTGAACTCACAACCCTTTAGCAGGCCAATGCTCAAACCACAGAGCTATCCCTCCCCTTACCCAATGATCCAACAGTGAAAAGTTTTAGTCATGACCAGGCAGTTGTAACCAGAGTGGTTTTAGGAACCCTTATTTTGGGGGAATGTATCTGGTTGAAAAACAAACTGGGCCTTCTTGGTCAAAGCCTGGTGTTTGAAATAGGAATGTCTTTTAAAAAAATGTTTCTATGTTAAACTGAG